ATCTTGAAAATATGCTTCTCTAATGCACTGCACTTACTCCAAAATATTTTCAGGAAATATGATTTCTGTGGAAATCTAGGTACATATAAGGTATAATAATTCCTTATTTGTAATTTAACTTATACACGTTTGCCTAAATTCATTAATCTAGAAAAAAGATAAGGGTTACAAAATGTAACAAAAGTCACAAATCTTATTTTAAAAACAATTATGTTTTTCCCTTTAGTTGCCAGTTTGGGCTTGGACCCCTTTTTAAGCCCTCACATGATTTACTTACAAGGTCAGTCAAACTGAGTGAACTCCCTCAACATCTCTCCTTCCTACTTGAAAATTTCTGTCTTCATCCATAAAGTCTCCTTCTCCTTCTTTCTCTAGTTTCCACTTTACTCATGTTTTCATTTGAATCTTCTTCCTCCTCATGTGTTTCTTAAACCTCTTGTTCTTCCATAGGAGCTGTCCTGTTTAAAACCACTCAGATGCCTATAAAGAAAATCTAGGCTTTCCTTGACCAAGGTTATCCTACCCAATTACTACCTCTCATCTTTCTTCCTTGCAAGACATTCTCTCCTCTTCCCTTACAACCTGGCTTACCCATCCACCACTCCACTGAAACTTCCTCCTGGCCAAAATAAATGACTTTTCTCATTTTTTAGCAATTCCTGCATAGGATTAAACATCCTCTCTCATTTAAAAAAACAAAGCACTTTTCTTCTACATTACAGATCATTACATCTCTAGCTTTTTTCTTCTTCTCACCCTCAACTCTTAAGATTTTTCTACCATTCTGTTGACCATACTCTTCTCTCCCTTTCCTTCAATAAATTCAGCGATTTGCATGGTTTCAAGTATATGGCCATATATGTTGATAACTCTGAATTCTCTATCTTGATTCAATCTTGCTAATCAAACACAAGTCTCAAATTTTCTATCTATCAACTGGATGCCTCCATTAAAAATAAATTTTATCAATTTATTTATTACAGGGTTCTTTCGAACCTGATGGAAAAGTTTCAAACATATGAAAGTATAGAAATTAGTATGATGATGCCCTATATACCTATACACAGATTCAACAATTAACACTCAACCAATCTTAATTTGTCTTTTTCCCTTACACTGGATTATTTTGAAGAAAATCCGAGACATATCAATTCATGTGCAACTACTTTAATACTTTAAAAGGATAAGGATTCCTTCTCTTTTTACCATAACTATAATACCGCTGTCAGACTTCCAGAGATTTCTTACTATAATTCCTTACTATCCTGAATATCTATTTAGTCTGTATTCAGATTTCCCAAAGACCTCATAATTTTTTTCTTTTACAGCTAGTTTGATTAAATCAGTATTAAAGCCCTGGCTGGTTTGGCTCGGCAGATAGAGCGTCGGCCTGCGGACTCAAGGGTCCCGGGTTCGGTTCTGGTCAGGGGCATGTGCCTGGGTTGCGGGCACACATCCCCAGTGGGCGTGCAGGAGGCAGCTGAATCGATGTTTCTCTCTCATCAATGTTTCTAACTCGCTATCCCTCTCCCTCTCCCTTCCTCTCTGTAAAAAAAATCAATGAAATGTATTTTTAAAAAATAAAATAAAAAAATAAATCAGTATTAAAAAAAATGCTCAAACATGGTATTGCTTACTTTATCACTTAAGTATAGCTTCCATTTTTCCTTCTTCCAATGTATTTGTTGAAGAAACCAGTCATTTGTAGAATTAACCACCTTTTAAATTTTGCCTATTGTATCTCTTAGAATGGTTTAATATGTCCCTGTCCTTTATCTTGTAGTATTAATAAAGCTATTCTCTCTGCATGGGAATGTCATTCGAGCTTAACTTTCTAGCTCTGTTTAGATTGGTATTTCTTTTCTCTTACACTGATAAATAGGAAAGATAATGACAAAGGGCCTACACAAAGCACACTAAGTAAGCAATGTTTGCCTTAGCAGCAAAAGCTTTTGTAAATGTATTTGTTACTAAGACATATATTTTATATGTATAATATGTAATCCAATATGTAGTATTATTTGCAAATGACATGATATTGTACATAGCAAACCCTAAAGACTCCATCAAAAAACTACTAGATTTAATAAAGGGATTTGGCAACGTGGCAGGATACAAAATTAACATTCAGAAATCGGTGGCAATTTTATACACCAATAATGAATTCTCAGAAAGAGAAACTAAACAAACAATCTCATTTACCACTACAACAACATATTAAGAAACTGAGGAATAAACTTAACCAAGGAGATAAAAGACTTGTACTCGGAAAACTATAGGATATTGAAAAAAAGATAGAGGAAGATATAAACAAGTGGAAGAATATACAGTGTTCATGGATTGGTAGAATTAACATCATTAAAATGTCCATACTACCCAAAACAATCTATAGATTCAATGCA